GGCTGCGCTGCTGCCCCTGCCGCCCGCCCTCTCGGGATACGCGAAGGAGCTGGGGAAGGTGTTTGCTGCCCTAAGCTTAACCGCGCTTGCAGAGCCTTAAAAGAGGTTAAATGAGGGGCTGGGGCGCAAGCGGACGCGTAGACGCGTTTTGACTTAACATGACCTGAAAAACAGCTAAAGTGAACGAGTGCCTTCTGCTCCAGAGCGGTTACTGCAGTGGCGACTGCTGCCAGCTGTCTAAAGACTAATAAGCTTTACGCTGATCCCCACATCAAGCTGCAGTTCGATAGCTAATGATACAAGGAGTTACTTCGCTTGGAGTTGTAGCACCATCTGTCCTGTTTTCCCAAGGCTTGTTCTCCTCCCTGAGAACTTGGTGTGTTCTGATTTTTAGGAAGAGATGTTATTACTGATTATTTTGCCCAGCTTCTGATTGGCTGGTGACGTTTTCAAATTGGGGGCAAAGAGAAAACCTTGACTTTCAGTCTGCACCCATAAGTCATTCCTCCTACTGTAGATACGTCATTGTGGTAAAGTTATTTTTATCCAGATGCTCATGGAATATGTGTGAGAAAATAAAAGCGCCTATGGAAAAAAATATACTGGCTGCATAGGCATTACATTTAGTATGTGTTTTGTCCATATTTTCCTCCCCACCCACCCCCCTTTTTTTTCTTTTTTAAAGTTATTCTGGAATGTATTTTTGCGGTGCTGAAGCTGTTTCTCTGTCCTTGTCTGACCTTTGCTTTCCAAATGTCTGTTTGCCTTCAGTGTTAGAACCAGCCTTTTGGTATGTTGTGAAAGGCAGAGGAGCCTGACTGCTCTCTCTTGGGAAAGACGCCGCTTGCGAACTTGCAGCGAGACTCCTTTTGCTGGCAGAGGCGTTCGTTCCCGCGAGGGGACTGCGGCGGCGGTGTCCGACCTGGGGAGGTGGGCAGTTGTCTGACCGGAGGAGACTGGTGATTGCTCAGAAACCAGGCGCTCGGGTAGCGCCTGGGCCGTCAGACTGGGCCTGGGGAGGCAAAACTTCCCCGGGGGCAGGCCGAGCGCGCTGGCAAACTTTGTTGTGTCCTTGCCAGTTGGGGGGCGGGGGGGGAGAGGGAGAGAAGTGAGGCGGTGGAGAAATTAGCTTGAATGCAGGGATAAAGCCAGTGTGAAGGGCATGGAGCAGGGAGCTAAATCGGGAACGCCAGGGCTGCATTAATGCTGTAAAACTTCAAGAATCAGCAGACTGAGAGCCTGCTGTGGCCGTCTCCTCGGGAAAAGAAACCCACCCTCAAAGCCATGAAGCTGACACCGGCCAGAACAGTCCACAAATAAGACCGAATTTGTGGGAAACATAATGTGTTATTAGCACTGGAAATACTTGAAACTGGTGGTCAGATGTGCCCTCCTGTTGCTCCTGATGAGAGCAGGGCCTAAAGAAGGAAAATTCCCTTTCCGTTTTCATGAGTGTCTCATCTGAATGGAGCGGGTTGAGGAGGGGTTTTTATTAATCTTTGTTTTCCTTTCTGGGAATTATTTCAGTTTTATCTTACGACAGTGTTGGAATTTGAAAAAAAAAAAAAAAGTGGTTGGGCATGGTATCTTTCTAATGCAGCTATCAAGGACAATTTTCCAAACCTTTCTTTATATAAAGACACAAAGACTTTTTTTTCCTCCTCCCTTAAAGTAACTCTTAACTATCTCTGTTTTCCTTTCCTTGTACTTAAGCCATGTTATCTTGTAAAGGTAGCTTTTCATTTTTGTTTTTTGAGAAATCACTAGGTATCTTTAGGTTGAGGAAAGAGGAAATATATTTATCATATTCATGTCAGGGCAGGAAAGAGTAGGAGAGAGCTTATTTGCTTTAACAAACTGTTCTGTGGCTCAGCTTCTCCCATCTCATGAGGGTGTAAATATGTGTTTGACATTACTATTTTGCCCTAGATTGTCATGGTGCAAATTTAGCAAAATGACTTCACTGCAGGCTCAGCTGGGAGCAGTGAAATGACTGTAGGATAGCAAGCTCTTATTTGCGCAGTTTTGATAACAGCTAAGTGTGATAAAAATTGTTGAAAGAAGCAAATTTAACTTTGCACGAGCTTCTTCCATAGTGCAAAATTCTCTCTGTAATTTTGGACTAGACTGATGATTTTTTCTTTTCTTTTTGAAAGTAAAATGAATATTCTGAAATTGTTATGGGAAATCCTTAGCTTCATGTCTCTGATGTGTCCTTGTTTACGAAGCTTTTTTGAACTCTGAGTTACAGGACAACACTCCATTGACTGAGAACCTCAAAAAATACGATAATCCATAATGCATGTAACCTGTGCTTTAACATGTCTGTTGTATAACAGAGCTCTTCTCTTTAATTGCTTTATTAAACTGCTCCTTTTTTCTTTACAGGCTTTAACTAGGAAGTTAATTTAACTTCTTTGGGGAATCTAACATTTAAATGTTCATAAATTACAAGTGGTTTTATGCCCTTAAGCTGTGCATAGTAGCAACCTATTTTTTTTCTCCAAACGTCTTTTTCTATGACCTTTATAGCTTCGAGTCTCTTCAGAACAATTTCTTATTATCTTCAGAGGTCAGCTTAGAAAGTGTGCAGCTTTATACTGGTGTGCTTCACATTTAAAAAAAAAAAAAAAAAAGGGGGCTGATTTTTTTTTCAAAAAAAAAAAACAGCACTAAACTTTATCATAACAACTCATTTGCATGGTATGTTACATGAGTAACTCAGAACTGCACATACTAGCTCACTGTTTTCATGCCAGGTAATGACGTCTGAGGGAAGATGTACATGTGTGTATGGGGGAGTTTTTTGTTTTTTGTTTTGTTTAAATGTGGCCCCTAAATGTGTTAGGTGCCTAAGGTTTTCTTCTGGAATCGGTCAGTGTGGTACATTCAGGCAATTAAGCAGAGTGGTAACGACAGCAGCAGAGAAGAAACAACATCAGGCTGCATTTTAAGAGGAGAGGGGAAAACTGTAGTTATCCTTAGTTTGATGCTAGTGCGTCACTTAATGTCAGAACACATCTAAACAGGATGCTACTGTTTGGCAGATATTCCCTTCTCCAAGCACTTGAGAGAAACAATGGTTTAATTATAGGATGTACCTATGCCTTTTCCAAATAAACTTTCAGCTTGTTCTCCAGTTATGTTGTTTTAAGCTTGTAACCGCTGATAGTCTGATTGCGTGGAATCTCTTAGGATAAGACAGAAACAAACACTTACTTCTTGATATAGTGATCTGTTAGCAAATATATAAAAAGCACTCTAGTTTAATGGGATCATAGAAAATAAATGTGAGTCCTGCTTAGAAGATGATAGTTAGTCTTTAAATTCAGATTTAGTGTATGTGTATGTATCAAAAATGCTAGAGGACTAAAATTAACTTTTTCACGCTGCTTACTGGTATTTCTTTAGTTTGAGTTTGGGAAAAGAAAATTTAGAAATATTTTAGATTTTGGTGAATTTTGTTTTCAGGTTTCTTCACTATCAGCATGCTGCCGTGTTACTATCTCTTTCACACTAATCTTTAAAGATGGGCTTATCCCCCGTTGCCATGCTGCTAAGAGCAGTAGTATGTTAAGAACCGGTTACTAAATTGCTGGTCCTCCTTGCAGAGGTCCTAGTAATGTATAGGACTATGACTGGCAACTAAAGCCCGATATTTGTCTGTAGTACATAATCATAATGATCTTTCCATCGTGGGTCTCAGAACGCTTCCTAACGTGGTTATTTCCGAGTAGTTCAGTTTGCGGACAGGTAC